ATGTATATCTGTCTGCAAACGTCCACTAGGAAAAGCTTAAATGTGCTAAATGAACAACAAATTCTATTTTCACATTTTATTACAAAATGATTTATAAATAAATAAGTTAAATTTTGTTGGGTTTTTTGTATTTATTTTTTTTGTTCTCTAAAAAATTCTTTGATTCAGAATCAAGTACTTACAACACCTTATCTGCCCTGAATGATAGTATAGAAAATACTGAGATACTAAGTTGAAACTCAGCCTTTTCTAAAAAAAGGAAGTCCTAAAGAACTTCACCATAAAAGTGCCTTTTCTTGAATTACCACCAGATCTTGTTCACTAAAAAAACCAACCAACCAAAAAAATCCAAAACCACAAAAATAAAAAAAACCACCACCAAAAAAACCTGAAAAAATCCACAAAAAAACCAAACCAAACCAAAACAAAAAAAAACCCCAACAAAACAACAAAAAACTCACCAAAAAAAGCCACACCAACCAAACAAAACAAAACAAAAAAATTATGAAGTAACCTGGGCATTTCTTACCTATTTGTACTACACCTGCAGTAGTTTAGAATTTAGAAAGTTTGTCTTTGTCTCTTATTAAGAAATTCTCAGTCTCCCCATACCTTCTCTGAAACAGAAGCAAAACCTTTGGTTGGATGCTGAGTTCTCATATCAAAAACATGGAATTTTCCCTCAAGCGATGTGGCCACCAGCTTATTCATATTTATATCTTTTCTATCAAACTCCACACTGCAAACCTGGATATAGAACAAGATAAATTCAGTCTTGTAATTTAGGGTGTTTTGTAATTTGTAAATATGTATTAATGATTGCTTAATTCCACAATAATATCATCATCAAACAGGAAATAAACATGTTGATCTGAAAACATTAATCCACTGAAAAATGTCCTCATCAAGAATGAGAGGGGTACAACGTGCTGAACCTAAAGAAAATTATTCCTTGGTACAATCTCAGCAGAAACATCTTCTGGGTAAGTTTCACACAGACAGAGTCCTTGTAATTTTTCCATCCTACATAGGAGCTGGAATGAAAAATACTTTTGTGATTTCCTTACCCCATTCTTAATGTTGGTCTCCCATCGTAGTGACATGGTTTTTAAGTCAAACAATTTAATGTCCCCATTGTCATATCCGGCACATACAACACGCTCCTCTTGATTGTAAGCATTACCTGGACACAGAGAGAGAATTTACCAGAAAACACAAAACCTCTTTAGCCTGTAAATTTCAGAAGTTCCAGGCCTGCAGTTTCAACTTCCATTTATACAACAATAACAACAACAAGAAGTTGTTGGGATATTAAGATGTGCTGAACCGGATGATTTTCAAACCTGAAGGGTCTAGAAAAAGTTTGTGTAGGACACAAGCAACTTTGCTCTCTCCAAAGAAAAATGCAGAGCTCACATCAAGCATTGCTGTTTTCTTTAATTTGCTCTTAAACTTCAAGGGACTTCTCTTAAATTAACTCCTTAATGCTTGGTAGCTGCAGCTACACTTCAACAGTGGTGAGTTCCCTGTACATGGCAATATTTACACTCCTTCCAGACCACACAGCTAGATACACTATTTTTACATTTCTAGGCACCTAAATAAAGCTTGCGCAGCTTATCTGTGAAACCACAGAATCATCAAGTCATTTAGGTTGGAAAAGACCTTTAAGATGATCAAGTCCAACTACAAACACTGACCAAAAGTGATTAGAGAATGAATCCAAAACCCATCTATCACAAACCCACAAAACTGGTTTATTTTGAAGAAAAAACCCCACACATAAATTTAACAGTGTAGAAAAGTAAAACGTGCTACTTATGCATCCATACAAAATAAAGTATTCCATAACATCCTGAAATACATTGACAATCATCAAAATACAGTCATGTGAGAGGGAAGAATGGTCATAGTCTGATCAATTACCAAATGCCACAGTCCAGCAGTCTCTTTTGCTCTCCCCCTGTACAGGTTCCATATTAGCCACAGGAGTGTCCTTCTGCCTTGGGTCCCACACCTTCACAGTTCCTGGGAAAGAAAGACAATAGATTTTGTATTAGGAATACATTGTCATACTGTATTCACCTTCCCAGGAAAGCCCTTTGCTTTTCATCTTAATCATTCAAAAGACAGGAGCAACTCTTTCAACTCTAGCAAGCTGCACTGTTTTGTTGACATAAGAAAGAACCACAAAACTAAACAGAAACAGAGTGAAAGCATTTGTTAAAGATGTATTTTCTCTGGCTGATATTTTGCATTTATTATGGTTTGTGTTCCTTCTGTCTCGTGCCCAGTGACAACAGTACCTTTTGCTTATCTGTGGCTTCTAGAAGAATTAGAGAAAATGGGTCCCAAGAAAGATTCAAAAGACAGTGTACAAAGAACTAGTTGCTACAGCTTGTAACTAGTTCAGATGGCAGACTATGCCCTGCCATCAAGAGCTTGCAGGCTCACACGAACTGGGAAGACTTGCAGAGTTCACTAACTCACCATCTCGACTGCCAGTCACAATTTCTGGTGCACCTTCCCCAATTCCTAAGCCACCTACACCATCTATACTGTTTATGATTTCCTTATGACCTTTCACAGAATACACTGGTATTTCAGGAGCTTCTAAATTCCTAGGCAAGAAAGAAAAAGAACAGAAAACATGGCATTTTTCCTTGACACTCAGGATTTGTATAAAAATGAAAGGAAACTTGAGCACAAATCATAAAAGCTCAAATTAACGGTGAGAACAAATATGGATATCCCCACTAAGAACCATGAGTCTTTGTTTGATTCCTTCTTTGGCTACTGCTTTGGACTGCTCTAAAAGATTTGGCTCTGTTCTGAACCTCCCTGTTTGTAAAGGCAGTTGTGAGATTCACCACAGCAACCACTGAGACCCAGTTTTACACGCTGGGCTCAAAAATGAATCACACTACAGATCAAGATACTCCAAGTATCTTTACTTTCAGTAGGTCCATAAAATAATTTGATTCATTGATCCCCACCTAGCTCTGACTACTCTAACTTCAGTAATAATAGGTGACTAGTATTACTGCTAACTTCAGTAATAATAGGCGACTATTGTATCCAGCCATGAGTTTCATGGTTCTTTCCCACCGATTCCCATTCTTTGAGAATCCTTCAGAATTTAACTTTACATTTCAACCAGTAGCTGTCCATGTAATTCTTGCTATTCCAACAAGAACCAGTAGCTCCTTGACACAGGGCAATATAATAATGATAATAAAAAAATCCCCTTTTGACTCTACTACTTTATTTGACCATAAATTTACCAGGACATTAATTACACCAATAATTCAGGGACATAGAGGAAATATTTGAAATGTCAGGATTAAAAATATATATTTAATCTAGACAGGAAATTTAGGTTGAACACAACCTCTTGTTTGTACTCATGCATCCATTCAAAAGCCTTTATCAGAGGATAACCTCACAGAACTTTAACAGGTTTTTGTAGCTGCACACAGAAGATGGGAGTGAAGCAGCACTGAATTAAACATGGTGCAGAATTCTGTGTTGTTTCTACAAAACAGGCATGGTCCAAATACAATAGCCAGCGAAGCCTGCACTAGGTCCCAACCACGCATGGGCAGCATGGAGAGCATCTCATGCAAAATCCACAAACAGAAACCTCTGCTCAGACAGACATGGACAATATCAAGTAAAAATGCTTCCAGAAAATGCTTACCATATGTTAAGGTTTCCATCGAAATCTCCTGTCGCTAAGAATCTTTGCTGCAGAGATGTAGCCCCAAAAGTTCCACATTTTATAGGTTTGGGCTTTTCGATCTTTTAAAGAAAGGAAATGTCTGTGTCAGCACATGGAAAAGGCAAACACACCCGCAGGCCACACAGTTCTCAGGAGTGCACAGGGGCAAGGGTCAGCGACACACACATGGGATATTTGGTGCAAAATACTACCAAAATGTTATTGAAGGCAAGCTGCACTTTGAGTTTCGTCCTTGTGCACAGAAAAGCAGAGGGCCGAGGTTACTGGTCTGGAAGAACACTCTGCTTGTGGCCTAGTGGGGCCTTATGCACCTGAGGAACTGCTACGTCTCAGAAGAAGTGAACACTCAGAGGTCAATCTGAGAGAAAAAAACCAACCAAACAAAAAAGCAAAAAACCAACCAACCAGCCAAAAAAGCCCCAAAACCCAACCAACCAACCTCAAACCCCAACAAAAAAAAAAACCAAAAAAACACAAACAAATGAAAAAACACCCCCAAAAAAGCCAAACACAGGCAGAAACCAGAAACTCATAACACAACACATGAAAACAACCTACAGCAGTAAGCAAAATCACAGAATCACAGCCTGTTAGGTTGAAAAAGACCTCTGAGATGGTCGAGTCCAACCTATGACCGGCTACTACGTTGTCAACTAAACCATGGCACTGAGTGCCAAATCCAGTCTTCCCTTAAACATCTCCAGGGACGGTGACTCCATCACCTCCCTGGGCAGCTCATTTCAATGTCTAATCACCCTTTCTGTGAAGAAATTCCTCCTAATGTCAAATCGAAACCTCAGCAGCTTAAGTTCTGTCAACAGTTGCCTGGGAAAAGAGAGACTCCCACCCGGCTACAACCTTTCAGGGAATTGTGGTGAGCGTTTCTTATCAAGAAACGACGGAGTATCAGTGAATCAGCACATTTAATACGCAAATCAGCTCCTGTTTTTTATCCCCGGGCTCTGGACAAACGTCCCGGCAGCTGTTCCCGAGGGACCGTGCTCACCTCCCGCAGCACCTCCAGACGGGCTCCGTGCAGCTCGTACAACTGGATGATGCCGGTGCCGCGGGCGGCGCTGCCCAGGCACATCAGGCGGGCGCTGCGGGGCACCCACTTGCAATCGAACACGGTGTAGCTCAGCGCCTGCTGGACGTGCGACACCACCTGCGGCCGCTCCAGACCCAGCACCGCCGACATCCCGCCCCGCTCCTTCCCCTGGGCCGGCGGCTACGGCGGAAGCGCCCGGCGGCCCCTTCCGGCGAGAGCCGTACCACGTGTGCTCCGCGGCCAGCATGGAGACCGAGGCGGCCGCCAGCGGCGGCTTCACCAGCGTCGTGTCCCGGCGGAGCCGGAGGAAGCGGCGGGCGGGCGGCGAGGAGCCGGCGGCGGGAGCTGCCATGGACACGGCGGGACCGCGGCCCAGCAAGCGGCCGGCGTTCCCGCCCGTGGCCGCCGAGGCGCTCGGGGTACGCGGGGTGCCGGGGAAACGCCGCTCCCGCATGTCCGCTGTCCCCCGCCTCACGGCCTGCTGCGTCTCGCCCCCGGCAGGTTGGGAAAGGTGAGCTGAGGAAGATCCCTGTGCCGGCCAACAGGTACACGCCGCTTAAGGAGAACTGGATGAAGATATTCACGCCCATTGTGGAGCATCTGCAGCTTCAAATCAGGTTCAACTTGAAAACGAGAAATGTTGAGATCAAGGTAAGGGGAGCAACTTCTTGGGCCTTCCCCGGTAAGAGAAGGTTGTGTGCAGACCTCGTAGCACCTTCCAGTGTCTGAAGGGGCCTCCAAGGAAGCTGGAGAGGGGCTCTTTGTCAGGAACTGTAGTGACAGGACAAGGAATTATGTTTACAAATTGAAAGAAGGAAGATTTGGTTTGGATATTGGGAAAAATTTTTGTACTGTGAGAGTAGTGAGACACTGGAAGTGGTTGCCCGGGGCTACCCAACCCTGGCAGTGTTCAAAGCAGGTTGGATAAGGCCTTGAGCAGCCTGGTTTAGTGACAGATGTCCCTTCCTGTGGCAGGGGGGTTGGCACTAGATGATCTTATGGTCCACTCCAACCCCTTACCGTTCTGTGATTCTGCCTTCTGAAAAGCAGGGCCTCTTCTCATGGTTGTTCTTGGTCCACAGATTAAAGACTAGAGAAGTCGTAAATCCCATATAATGCTTGGAAAAATGGAAACTGTGTGGTGTCACCTCCCCGGGGATCACATCTGGCAGTTGTTGCTTAGAACAAGTAATTACTGCAAGTAAAATCCAAAAGTACAGATCTGTTCCAGAAGGAGCCAGCAGAAGCTGAGGGAGTTTTTGTAGGAGAAAGTTATGTACTACAGAAAGTTATGTACATTAAGGAAGAATTTTCATCCATGTCTTAGATACGATTTTGTAATTCAATGTTTTCCGGCTATTTAAAGTTACCAAATACTGACGTGACAGTAAACATTATCTTTTAAGGGGGCACTGAATCTCCTAATGCCTTTGTTTGTGGCAGACGATAAGGGCCCATAGTTTAATAGCATGTGATTTTTCTTTAATGGATTGCAATGGAATACTTTAGGGCACAGACACCAGTATAAACCTGTAATTCTTGTAGATACTAATTCTTTATCCTTATTCCTCTTGAGGAATGTTCACACCAGGAATTTTTAAGGGCATATCTAAAGTTTTGACGTACGACTCACTGTATTAGCACCACTGACATGAGAGATCTTCCAATGTAATAGTGAAAATACAACAGGAATTTTGCTTCCTAACGATGAAATGTTATCACAAGTTTGATGGCAGGAATTGAAGGAAAGGTGACAGCATTATCCCTTATTTACTTTATTTCCTAGAAATAACCTCAGGGGAAAGGTAGGGAGGAGCAGGAACTCCTGCAGTTTCACTCCATAACTGTGCAGGAGAAAACCCTGGGATTTTAACACCACCTTTTGATATGAAATGATGTCTGGTGAAAAACAAGGTAGTTTTGTTCTTAATCAAGGTAATTTTATTTTGCCCATATCCATCATCAATATAAAACTTTGAAATTAATTTCATTCATCTGCTAAGGTATATTTAGAATATTGTCATTAGAATAACTCTCCTGCCATCACCATCCTTCTCTTTTTCCTGCTGTTTGCTGTTGCCGTTTAGTTTGTGTTGTTTTTGGGTTTTCTCCACCAAAATGGTTCTGCTCAGTCAGTGGTGGTGTGGATTTTCAGCAGCTTTTCTCTTCTCTCCCCTCCAAGTGCAGGCTAATCTTTAAAGTTCTGATCCTAACTTGCTTGGTCTTAATTTGCAAACATAACTTCTTGTCTTGCAGACTTGTCAAGAGACAAAGGATCTCAGTGCTCTGACGAAAGCAGCTGATTTTGTGAAAGCCTTTATACTTGGATTTCAAGTAGAGGTGAGTCTCCCAACAACCAGATTGTGAGATTGCTCCAGTTTACTGGTCTGCCCCTGGCCTCTGCAAATTACAGTAAGAAATAAAGAGAAAAATCCTTAGGTGGTTTTCTAAAAATCAGTTTTTTTCTAGAAATTGTGACTGGAGTAGACATCCAGTTTCTTAAGATAATGCCGGATAAAAAAGTAGCCTACAAACAGGACATAAACAGAAAACATAGGTTGTGTGAGACAAGCGTAAAGGAATAATCTCTCTCTGAGGTCCCCTGCATTGGTAGAGACTGCTCATTTTATTAAGCCCAAGCCAATAACCTCCAATCTGTGCAAAACTCACAGAATCACAGAATTAACGAGGTCAGAAAAGACCTTTGAGATCATCAAGTCCAACCTATGACTTTATCAACTAAACCATGGCACTGAGTGCCACATCCAGTCATTTTTTAAACACCTCCAGGGATGGTGACTCTACCAGCTCCCTGGGAAGCCCGTTCCAGTTCCCAATCAGTCCTTCTGTGAAGTACTTATTCCTAATATCCAGCGTAAACTTCTCCTGGTGTAGCTTAAGACTGTGTTCTCTTGTCCTGTCCCTGGTTGCCTGGGAGGTGAGACCAACCCCCACCTGGCTGCACTCTCCTTTCAGGCAGTTGTACAGAGTGATAAGGTCTCCCCTGAGCCTCCTTCTCTCCAGGCTGAGCCCCTCCAGCTCCCTCAACCACTTCTCATAGGACTTTTGTTCCAGACCCTTCATCAGCCTTGCTGCTCTTCTCTGGGCACATTTGAGCATCTGAAAGTCCTCCTTAAATTGGGGTGCCCAAAACAGTAGTGGACATACTGGTCAAGGTATGGCCTAACCAATGCAAAGCACAGGGGAAGAATGACATCCCTGCTCCTGCTGGCCACACTGTTCCTGATACAGGCCAGGATTGCTTTCTTGGCCGTGTCGGTACACTGCTGGCTTGTATTCAGCCAGCTGTCAGCTGAACCCCCAGGTTCCTTTCTACCTGGTTGCTGTTGTGGCCAAAGCATAGGACCCAGCTCATGGACTTACTAAACCTCATATTAATGGATTTGGCCCATCTATCCAGCCTGTCCAGGTCCTTCTGCAGAGCCCTCCTAGCCTCCAGCAGATCACCATTGTGCTTGCAGCTTGGTGTCATCTGCGAATTTGCTAAAGGTGGACTCTTATCCAGATTATCAGTAGATACTAAATAGGACTGGGCCTGTTGGAGCAAACAAACCCACTTTTTTCAGTGTTGTAGGGGCTGCTCCTTGCTCTAGACCTGCACTGAATCCACTAGCACTGGGGAGGCAGGGCTGAATGCAGGGACATCCAAGCCTGTGTAGGGTTGTAGGGTTCTCTAGATGGAAATATTTGTATTGCTGTTGAAAAGAAGTGTATTTCACTTTAGCTGTTATTTGCTAGGTTGTGTGTATAAAGAGAACAGCAGCTTTCACTGTGTTACTGGAAAAAAATAACTGCTGATAACAAATCTCCTGCTCTTTTAGGATGCCCTTGCTCTCATCAGATTAGATGATCTTTTTCTAGAGTCATTTGAAGTTACAGACGGTGAGTATTTTCTGATGCAGCATTCAAGAAGTCATGTGTGCATCCTGCTACTATGGATTTGTTTTTTCTTTCCCCCTGCTCCACTTTTATTGCTTGCCCTCATGGATCAGGAAAGTCAGAAACATCTAATTTTATGTAATACTGGGACTCCTTGGAGTCCCCTGTAGAGCAGGATCTAAACCTGATCTACTTCATTTCTACCAGTGTTAGCTTGGTGCACTTTGACTCCATTTCCTCAACATAAAGTGCAGTGCCTTTCTCTGCAGTTCTAAAGGAGACTTCTGCAAGCCAGAAACCCCATTTCAGCACTGGCTGCAGTGTGCACTGCTAGTCAAAAAAAAGCTGAAATCCAGATGGATCTGTGTTGACCAGTGAAGTTGGTTTTGTAGTACTTGGCACAAGTTGTGTCCAGCAACTTGACCAAGGAAAGTATTAACAGGAATACACACCACTGCTGTTACCCTGGTCATGCTATTCTCATTTCAGTCAAACCTTTGAAAGGAGATCATCTGTCAAGAGCAATAGGGAGAATAGCAGGGAAAGGTGGAAAAACCAAATTCACCATAGAAAATGTGACCAGGACACGCATCGTTCTTGCTGACACGTAAGTACAGACTGACTTCCTCCTAGGCAAAGCACAATCCCTCAGCTAATCCATGTCCTATGCCAGAAACAACGATAACTTAAATTTTATAAAACTATAGAGTAGTAGTAAGAAAAAATATTTAAGAGACTATTTTAATGAATACAAGTTACTTGACCTTTTATTATGAGAATGATGGTGTCACCAGCGTATCTAGAATTCAGTCACTCCCCACAGCATAAGAATTCCTTCTTATGAATAATCAAAGTTGAATTCACCAACACAGCAATGTTTTCCTCCTGAAGCTGCTACACTGTTAAATCTGCAAATGGTAAAATCTATTTTTAAAGGATTTAGAAGAGCACAAGTCTTATGTTGTAGGTTTTGTGGGTTTCAGTTGGGTTTTTTTTTGTTTACAAGTGTAGAAAAGAAACTAGGACACTGATAAAAAATTCCACGTTTATCTCTAACCTCCAGTTCTCCATTAACTGTGCAATCTCTTCAGTTACTGTTAACTACTGCTACTTTTCTTTCTACAGAAAAATTCATATTTTGGGATCTTTTCAGAACATTAAAATGGCACGAACAGCAATTTGCAATCTAATTTTAGGTAAGCCCTCTTATTTAATCTTCACTACATATGAATCTTGCAGTTTGAGAAACTGTTTTATGGCTCTCACCCTCTTCCCTGTCCTGTCCACACCTATATTTGGAGTAAATAGCTTGCTGGCAGTTGGCTTGTTGCTCTTAAGAGAAAAATCTAGGGGAGAAGCAGGGAATCCAGGACTTGCTTTCTGGCTCCAAAACCCTCACCACATTGCAGAAAGATGTTCTGCATTTTGATTTAGCTACAGCATTCCCTAAAGGGTCCCAAAAGCCAGAGGGAGCAACCCACTCAAAGCAGAAGTTGAGCTCTGCACTTGCAGTAAGATGGTTACTGACCTTGCCCATCCTTCTCGCCCTTTGGCTTAGTTCTCCACTTTAAACACAGGTGTGAGCACAACACATCCCTTTTTGTGACAGATTACATTTCTTGAGTAGATTTGTGCCTTCTTCTGCAGGAAGTCCTCCATCCAAAGTTTATGGCAATATTAGGGCAGTGGCCAGCAGAGCAGCTGAGAGGTTCTGAGCTGCACCACCAAGGACTGGGGCTGGAAGTCCAGGTTCCTGAACACAGGAGAAGCCGAGAGCTACAGAAGCCATCAGTTTTCTGCTGGATTTGGAAGCCCAGAAGAAAACCACAACTGTTTGTGCAGTCTGATTGACTTTGGACATGTGGTCTGATTTGAACACACCTAATGTTTCTGTCTAGTCATTAAAAGAGGTTTTAAATTGTGTCTCTATCAAAAGTCCATGATTTTACTTGAACAGCCTCAAACAAAAACCTGCTTCATTACGGATTTTCTGAATATCAGACTTAAGACGCTGCTTCTTCAGAAAGCCTTGGTGTTTAATGTTTCGAGCCTAAAGGAATTGGCAGAGTTATGCATTTATAAACACACATTTAATGTGATGGTTTAATATCTTCCTGAAAGAAGGAGTCAGCTGGAATGCAGAGTCCAATGGCAGGCTGTCCACTGAGCACTGCTGCTGAACAATGAATCACATGAAAAGAGTAAGATGAAGGGGTAAATAACATCTTTGAACTGAATCCTGAATCTGCACACACACAGATTTCTTAATTCCTACAAATTATCTGTAAGGACAGCCTAGTGGAGCCAAGAGCCACAAGGTTAAGTATGTTCCAGTGTACCAGAGCACAAACAACTGTAAGGTCCTGTGTGTCTCTTTAAAATGCTACATAAGCAGCATAATGCAGTAAAAGTAGGGGGAGAAATTAAGAGTGACCACTCCCAGTAAGATTTAAAAACGGACCCTCTTCTCCTAAACCTGCCAGGCAACCTTCTGTAAAATGTCTTGCAAAATAAATAAGTCAGGTTTGGGAATGAAAAAAGAAATAAGATTATCAAACACACAAGCAAATTAAGTATTTAGGTCAATGTCCAAGTTTCCAGAATAGAGCTTCACAGTGTGGGATTATCACTACAGCCAAATTGATTCAAGCCTTCAGTTGTGAAACTTGCTGGAGTACCTTGAGCACACACAATTTAGCAGTCTGAGCGATACAGGGGACAGTGTGTGCATTCTGAGCAGCTCCAGGCACATGTACCTGCTCACTACATTTTCTGTTTCTTGGCTGCTTACATCATTTATTTCAATTAGCTTCAAAGATAAAGGAGAGTGATGCAAGAGCACACAAAACTGATACTTATCCTAAATTAGGTGCATACCTGCACTGACCCAAAGCAGCAGAAGGGAGAGGGCAGCACACACAAGGTCCAAACACCTGCACCCCAAAGAGCACAGCACAAAGCTGCTGTGAAGGGTATACCTGTGCAAGAAGGGCTGGTGTCATCAATACAAAGACCTTTTCTGAGACATGTGAACTGTCTTTTATTCTCCACCTACATTAATGTTAGGGGGGGTTGGTTTGTTTTTTAAAACCACTTTCCACAGGGATTTCAAACAAGGTAGGTTATCCACTTTGAACATTTAGCAAAGAGAACCAGATGTGCCATTAAACAACCTCAACATGTCTTGAAACACTGAAATGACCCCTGGTCGTTTTCAACAGACTGCACCCTGTGGAGTTTTTCAGTAAATCTTAATAATCAGGGAGTGGACAAAAAATATGAACAGGTTTTCTTCAGAGCAAGGTGCAGAGCTGCTCTAAGGTGAACAGGAAAGGTACTGAGCACCCCAGCTAAGGTTCAAATATTTTATTTTATATTCATACAGTATGAAGGTTCTTATAGTTCCCACAATATACGATGTAGCATGCAGAGGAAAAACTAAACATTCAACATAAATCTTTTTTCCCCACACAAACTGAAAAAAAACCTCATCCCTCCCCTTCCAGTCCCCCATAGGAAGTTAACATTAGCACTAATTCCTATAATGCCAGCCAAGATATGCACAAGCAAGAAAAACTGAAAGCATTTGCTAAAATGTTTGTAACAAATACTTATGTACAAAAAATTCACAAAAAGACTAATTCCCCCCCTGAAGCAGAGCACATGGCAGTTGACACTGGAACAGATACAACCACTGGCTGGGATTATAAACCACGTACTGATCCAGAAGAAGAAAAAAGTTACATGTAGTGGAGATTTTTTTGAACATTAACATTTACCAAAGTTTGGCAACATTATCTTTTTAATTATGCAAATTATGTAAACAAGAGGAACATTTCAAATCGATCTACATGCAAAACTTCATGTCATGCAAGGACACTAAGCACCTGGATTTCTCTCTTACAGACAGAGCCCATGATGTGCAGCACTCAGTTGAAGGAACAGCTATGGCAGACAGGTGCTTGATTGAAGAGGTTCAGACAACCTGCACTTTCCACCACTCATTATAAAACATTTTTTTTAAAATAGAAAAACTACTATACAGGAAAGATGTACTGTCCTAAAAAATCTAGCAAATGTTTTTCTTCCAGCCAATAGTACCACTGCAGAAAAGGGAAGGGATGATATAAAGTTGTAAAACATGGCTTGCTACTTTTATGTCACACAAACAGATCAAGTTACGTTCCATTACAAATTATGATATGGACAAATTTAGAAAAGAAAAAAAATTCTCCAGGAAAAGGACTGGAGAACTGCAAGAGGTATAAATTTAGATAGTGTGAAGTTTTCCTCCTCTATGGCATACTTTAACAAGATTCCCCCCCTGTATGAATCATATATACATATATATATATAAAATATTACCAGTTATTTAGCTACCTGTAGTATTTTTTAAATGCAAGGGGGGAAATTATCATGGGTGAAACAACAGAATTTAAGTGGCAAGAACATTTTATAATCTAAGTACTGTATAAAATAAGTAGATGGGAATCCTGCACAGTTATGTTGATTCTAATTTCATTAAGCTAAGCACAAGAGAAAATTGTATATGCATCTACCACCTTAAGCAGCTGTATCTAAATTGAACCCAGAACAGCAGAGTTGTCTTGGCTTCAGACAGCTGTAACTGCTCCCAATTCCTAGGTGATGGAATCTAACAGCCATCAAAGCATTCCACAGTCACTATATGTACATGAGGACTACTTCTTGGCAGTAGCATTAAACTATATTCTCATATTAAGTAGAACTGAACTAAGTTATTTAGCAAAGAGACACGGTCCCTGGTAATATATTAACAGGTAAAAAGAAACTTAGTCTCCTGTGTTACAAAAAAAAGTAATTAAGGTGATTTAATAAGAAGCAATGCTTTGTCAGCCATTCAATATATAGAAACATCTGAACAGTCACAGGAAAAGAGTTGACCTAAGACCCAGTTAAAACTTTACATTCTTCTACTATATATATAAAACTGTGTGAAATAAAAGTAAGGATGTATATCCACATATTGAACTGTTAATATTCTGCTTGGCACTTTGTACTCTAGTTTTGTTTCTGAGTCAAGTATATTAAATTAAAGCCCACCTAGCTACTACATATAGAAAGCTACATATATATCTATATATAAATACACACACACATATATATAGATAGATAGATATTTCCTTGTTATAAAAGATGAAGAAAAATAAATTAAAAAGCCAACCCCTTCCCTTTCTCCGCCACATTGATATGCTCTTTCCATCTTTGCTGTCCTTCAGACTTTAAAGTGCTACACTGAGTTATTCAGAGAATAAAAGTTCAATAACACTTAGTTGGCTTCATGAGGCTCATGTTGGAAAATGTGGCTTCACAGAGAAAAATACTTCCATTTAAATACACAGAGAGCATTGCTGGACGTCTCGAGCAGATCTTCAGAGATGGAGAAGAAAGCAAAAGTGTTGGGTGGTGCCCTACAGAGTCACACATCTACGACCATCTTTTTGTGGATATCTAGGCCTCCTACAACCTGGGAGAAAAAACAAGGTTCAGAAACACGAGAATTGAAAATTAGCAAAGTGAAAAGAACACATTCAATAGATGCACTGAGGTCAATCATAAAGGCAGTACTTCCCTGGCCGCTCCAAACTGATTTACATTTTATAAGTACTGTGAGAGATTAAATTAATTATGTACAAACCAAGGTAGTCCAGTACAATTAGTACAATTTACATGCTCAAAGGCCTGAAAACTAGTGCAAATAACACCATTCTGGCATTCCTCTCTATCTCATATTATGACCTTGTATGTTTGTGCATGTTAAATAAAATGGTGACTTCTAAAACTGTAAAACTGTGAACCTTCCCAGGAAAAAGAAAGTACTTTAGGAACAGCAGCAGAATTTCTGACAGAACACACACTCAGGAAAGAATTACTAGTTTTCACAGGTGTGTGATCCATGCAGAGCAGAAGGAAAAGAAAAGGTGCCATGTCAGAGAAACATTTTATAATGCAGGAACAAAATTCAAAGGCCAAATGGTATGTGCCAAAGACAACAAATTAAAACTCATTTTTGTAGATACATGGCACCAGATTCAGAGAGGGTAAAATGCAAGAAAAAGAATAAGATGTAGAACTAAAATGTGTCTTGTCATGAGGTCAACAAAAACTGAAGAAATTAAAAGTAAAGAAGAGGAAAATCCCTCAGTAGCACATGGAAAGAAGTCTGGGCAGAAGCCCAAAGACAAAAGAAGAGGCAACATCACATTTGATAGATGGCTGGAAGATGACAGCCCAGTACAAGAAATAAACAAGTAATGCAGTAATCCAGGCATTTGCAGGCTGTAGTTCTAACTTCTTTGCAGACAAAATGTTTTTTACATGATATCACAAAAATAATTGAACTTAAAAAGAAAAAGATCCAAAATGAAAACAATAGAATCTTTTCACTTTAGTAGCTGGCAGCATGGCAGATTTCCACCACCCTCCCTCCCCCTCTTTTTTTTAGAACTCACATATTTTTTGAGTAAGAATTAGTTAAGTTTGAACTGAAGTTGTAAATTCAAAGATTAGGAAAAAAAGCAATGCCTAAACCATGCTATCAAGTGTATCTTCCTTAGTATACCATTTAAAAAATCAATGTGTAAACACTCATTATTGCAATTTTCAAAGGATCAAGATTCAATGTGGCATTTAAATTCTTTTTGAGAAAAGAATTTAAAACTTCCTATCAACTAATTAAAGAAAAATATCACATGGGTTAAAAATCAACCCTTCCAAGTGTTAAATGCTACATTTAAACATTCTGTTCAGTAAGCCTCTTAAGTTCATAAAAATGCACCTTTTAACTGTTTACTCTTTTTCCAGAGTAGCACTTGAGAGTATTTTATTTTTCCTCTCTCTGTAAATGACTCAATTTTTCTTTAGAAGTTACTTACAGCACAAAATTCTTCAAAGGATATTCTTCCATCACCATCCTTATCTGCATTAATTATGGTTTTATCTACAATTTGCTGTAACTGAGTGTCTTTGAGATTGTTCCCAACCATCATCTTCAGGACCTGGAAGAGCTCTCCATTTGAGATATAGCCATCTTTGTCCATATCATAAATGCGAAAAGCAACTGTAGAAGTAAAAAAAAATAATCAAACATAAATAAACCAACCAATTGGTACCAACTATGGTTGGAAAACAATATATACTCACTTTAGAAAACACCTGAAATTGTTCTAACACTAGCAGTAAAAGCATTCTGTGAACAACAAAAAAGAAAATCTTCCCCACCACAAGTAAAGCACTCAGCCAGCAAAAAAATTACAACCTCCCAGGAAACAGATGACTCAAAGTCCCATCTGGTTACTTTGCTGCAAACAACTTGTCATCAAGACTGAATTTATTTTTAAACATTTCAGACTTAGTTATTTGGAAGCTACATCCGTAACTGAATCTGTCTCTTTTCTACTCCTAAGCCAAGGTCTGGAGATGCAGTTCTGAAACAAGAATTTAGTGCTTTCCTACTGTAATAGCAAATAATTGAGTATTATTCTTAGGCCCTCTAAGTTCACAGATCTATATAGCAAGCTGTTCTTAAATGAACTCACTTTTTTTAAAAAACTGAAAGCAATTGAAAATTCTTCAGCAAGCAACCAACCTCCTCCAACTTTCCCTGCAGAAAAGAGTGCTACTAAGTGTTCACAACAAAATGTGCAAAAAGCTTACAATCTACTTTCATTATTTTCCACTCTTTACAACAATTTGAATTTGCCAATTTCTTAATCTTAATTTACAAAAGTGTATTTCTGAGGATCAGAAATTTTTTGTTAAAGAAAATCAAAATACTTACACCTCAACTTCTGTTCTTTATCTCCTTTGACACTGAACTGGGAGACTCCTTCTATAAATTCTACACAATGAAAAGGAAAATATGTATAAAAACCACATTTTTAATAAACAAGTCAACATTCAGAAAACTTTAGAAATTGTGAAAGCAATCTAATCTCTAAAATATTGCCTACTTTATGATACCTAAATGTCTGTGTACTTTGATATTTAACTTCTTCAGTGGGAGGAGCCCCAAATCCAATGCAACACTCACTAAACAGACTATGTCACACCAGCATTTAAATAATTTTGTTTGTTTTGTTGCTGGACCTTCACAAGAACCTGACAGAAAACTAAGATCTTTACTAAAGTTACTCCAGTTGAGACTCCAAATGTACAACTCCTCTCAATACTGGTTTCTCAATGTAAAGAACTACATGGAAACTGAAAACTGCTTTTGAAGAAATTGTAAAGTATTTTTCTATAAAAGAAAATTGGTTTTGCCAACTTTCTGCTCCCTTACAAGAGGAACAACTCTTGATAACTGTTATTAATCACAGCTCAATGTCACAGAAAACATGATCATCATTGCTCATGACTATCTATTTTTTACAAGGGAATTTTGAATAGTTCCATGCAACAATTACTATTTCTAATCAAAACTCAACATTCTAGTTATACTGTAGATATCCCTATAAACATTAAATAGGTTTTGCAGAGGTTACCAGCTCTTGTATATTAATATCTTATTTAAAATG